TTTTTACATACGAAAAGATATTTTTTATATGTAATCTCCTATGGCTTTCTAATTCACAGAATTGTTGCACGATAATCGATTTTCGCTAGTTATTAGCAAGAAAAGAAATAAATAATTTGGATCATTGTTCGCAAAAAAACAATTGATTAATGAGAAACGAACAAAAAAAAAGGAAAATGTATAAAAAAATGAATGTGTTAATAATTGATCCGGGAAAAAAACTTCCGACTTCTGATATTTTATTATTTTCGACGCTATGGAGAAAATTTGAACAAAAACAAGTTCTACTAGGACACTTATTGTGGATATTTAAGATGTAAAATGATTGTAAGTAAGTTGCACTTATCCTTAGAGCAAAAGATCTAAGTTCATAATTTCTAAATATTAATAAACTCGTAATATAGAATATGTGATCAATAGTAGTTTATAGCTTCATCAATTTGATTTTGGACTAAATAGAAAATAAGAGATAGACCAATTTAATTGGGAACTACATCTAGAATAGATTTTCCTTCAGTAAATGAATTCGTTTATAATCATGTGAAAACGAAAAATTCTCAAATACCCAGCTTTATAATATTCTTATTTAATAAATCTTATCCACATTTTTATGTATTTTTTGCGATATACGTCCTACTATTTTCTGAGAGAGAAATAAAAAACATGAAAAGGTGTTTATGTATGCATTTATTACTATTTTCTTATATGATGAAAAAGTTTCTTTTTCTTTGTCTCAAAATATAGTTTCACACACTCGCACACTTACTTATTCATATTCTTTTTATTTTTTATGTATGTAACACATTAGGTCCGTTAAATATTCACAATAGCCTCACTATTTAGATATCATTGATTAAAAAAGAACTCGTTTTGGGATAATTTATTCCTTCAAGAATACAAAAGCTGAATATTTTATCTATGTACAAACAAATTTTTTCTTAAAATTAACTAGAAGTCCGAAACACTGTCAAAGTCTTTTATCGATGTTCTAAGACCCTTCTCCCTTTCGAAAACAATTTTCAAAAGAAATTGTCTAATGTTAATGAAATTTTCAGCAAATAGTAGTTCGACCAGGATAAGGTCATAATAAAAGTTTGAATTTCAAATGTGAATTTTCCAGACTTATCAGAAAATACAAAAGTCGAATAGCAAGTCTCAATATTTACAGGGTATCTGCTCTATTTTAAGTCTAACAAAGCTTGATTTAGTCATGAATTAAAGAGAAAACTGAATAATATGACATGGCAAAGACTGATCTTTGAAATTTTAGTTCCATTAGCATTTCTTCGACGTTTTATCTTGAAAAACTCGAAATCCTTTTTCTTCTCAATAACAGAAGTGAAAATTAAAACTGGGATCCTGCTATCTCTTAGTGTCCAATTTTTTTAAGGCCAATTGCGAGCTTTATGGAACTTAAAACAGAGAAGAAATCTTCTAAATGGTGAAGCCGTTCGCTTTAAGTCAGAAAAGAAAAGTGTTAAATACTTTTGTAAAACTTTCAGGGCGTTTCTTCCTCAGGAAAAATGAAATTTTAAGTTTAAAGAGGTTTTGGATACAAAATGGCTGTTGTTGCACAAAAAAATCATTGCTGTGGGAAACGAAGTTTTTGAATTACTACATGTATAAATCTTTAAATCAGCTTCTTTCCAGGGATGGCATCTACTGAATTAGAGATAATTTTCAACAAAACATCTTTTATCTATCAAGATATTTATTTTTTATTTGAAATAAATATCTAGTTGCCCTATTCACACTATACATGATAAAATGTTAGTACAATCTTTTCAAATAATTATAAACGCATCAATCACGCAAACATATGTCTACATTTTGAAGTATTTAATTCTATAAAGTAAACAGATGTTCTGAAAATAACCAGTTCGTTACACTATTGATTGTTGAAATGCGGTTTCAATCATATTGAAAACGAAGTGATACTGTGACTATCATAAATTATTGCTCAAAATTTATAAAATTATTATTTTTGTGACTCACTGATAGATAAACATTTTTGTTTAAAATTCATTATCGTCGTCATCGTCGTCTGTCGCATTTTTCTCTCTTTTTACTCTCTAGCGTATCCTTGAACAACAACACGAATCATCAATGGCGCAGCTGCAACAAGAAGTTTTTTAATATTTACTTCTTAATATATTTTATCGTTTATTTTTAAATAATGAGAAGTTTCAACTGAAAAAATTAACAATAGAACCTTCTCAAAATTCGTCAAACGAAGATCGAATTCAAATGAAATATTTAATTTGTTCAATATTTATAAGAGACAACCGTCTTCGTTTATACGTCTGAGGAAAACCATTTAGATTTTCCTCATATAAATTATGAAATATTTACCAGCATTAAAATTTCGAGATTTAGGTGCCGATCGTAAGTACTTTTTATTTTATTTTTATTGTGATTAATGATGTCAAATTCCATTGATAATATTCTAGTGTTCTTCTCTTCATTATATGACTCTCAGAATGTAGCATGCTTGGTCAAAGTTGACAACTGACACCGTGTAAAATGAAACATATGCTGTTCAAAAAATCCTTCTATTATTATCAGTTATACTAGTCGTTTTCCAGCAATCGTACTGTGGGAAAAAATCTTGTTTTATTGTTTGTTTATTTAATCAAAAATATAGAGCCAAACTGTGATTTTTAAGATTTCAGCAATAATCTGTAAATAGAATAAAGTAGAGCCTGTACGATGACTGATGAACTGATTAACAGTCATTTTTTTAAATTTCATATTCATCAATTGCTGAATTTAATAAAACGTGAGCTATTGTGTTTTTACAGAGAAAAACGACTTTTTATTAGTTTTTTATACAAAACTAAATATTCGTGTTTTATTGCGACAAGTCTCTTTGAAATTTGGTAATTTTTCAGGAGTGCAAACACAAGACAGAAACTGCAGCTAAGAATCTTTAAGAAGACTTTATTGGTTGTGAGAATAACCTTTTAATTATTTATAGATTTCCCAAACTTTGTGATTCTACTAAGCTCATCTCTAGGACTCGAAAGAATAAAACTAAGTGAAACCTTTTTAAGTCTAGGTGACTCTTAATCTTATGGATTTTTAAACGACGCTTTGTTTTTAGAGAGTATTTCTTATCGGGTTCTTGCAAACAGAAAGATGTATATATAAACCATATTAGTTTGGTTTTCTTTTAATAAATATGAAAGGGGCTAGGACGATACTATAAGTACATATAAAGACTGAGTGGGAATATT